GCAGCTGGCTTGTATGGGGATCCAAAACCTTGACTTTGGTGTCATAAGATCGAGCTCTAACCAAACTTTGATTCCTTCAATGAGAGGTGCCATATAAGTCGTATTGAATATTATTCATCCAAATATAGATTAGACGGGCCGGCCCGGTGGCGCACTGCTACGGTGCGCCGCTTGGGAGTGTGGCGGCGCTCCCGCCGAGGGTTCGGATCCCACATACAGACCGGTTCCTGCTCACTGGCTGAGCGAGGTGCGGACGCAGCACCGAGGGTTGCGATCCCGTTGCCGGTCCTGGTCCGGTACGGGCGCGACACTGAGGGTTGTGATCCGTTGCCGGACACGAAAAAAGACAAAAAGGAAAAAAAAAAAAAAGACAAATATAGATTAGACAATGCTAATGTCCCATGGGTAGATTAGGAAATTGACACATTAACTCTGAGTTTTTGCCATGTTTGTGGGAGGTGAAGTGATTATAACACAAGCAGGTGTTACAGATATCTTTTTCCCACCTGAATGAAATACTTGGTTTTCTGCAGGTTTCTAATCTCGCAAGTACTGTACATTCTTCTAATACATATGTGCAAGTATACATGGATAATGGGCGTTGTGTGTGATTATTCCATCTAACGTTACATGAGTCTAAGTGCAATGGGAAAAGTTAATGAGAAACATTATTTTAAAAACTCCATCCATTAGAAAAACAAAGTTAACAAATGAAAAATATGAAGAGAAATAGACAAGGTAGTTCAGTTTTCAAACCTTATGAGAGAGGCTATTATATTAGTGATAATTTAGGAAAATCTGGGAGTTAGTTGAATGCTTATAAATTGACTGAATGGGCTAAGACACATACTGTTTCTGTTCTCAAAACAATTTATAATATAAGGTAAGAAAGTATAGCTGACAGTCTCTGTAAAGCTAGGGCTGGGGCTCACAGACCCCTCAAGCCCGTTGCACAGACTGGGTCCACCAGACCCCTCACATGCAGGTCTACGAGCTAGGTAATTGGGAAAGATTCCGGGAGCTGTTGGTGTACCACACGAGCTCAGTCCTCAGCTTCTTCAGTGGCAGCAGCTTACAGGTCTGGTAGGTTACAGGTCCGGTGGTGGGGGTGGCCTTGCAGAGGGTCCCGGGGGCACTAGCAGCAGCAGCAGTAGTGACCTCCCCATGCTCTACCCCCCGGGGGGTCATCCCGGGGGTGGGAGGCGCTGTGGGTCAGAGACATTCATCCTTTATACTTAAGTCCATAACCCAGGACTCCGGAGTGCAATGCGCAATTACACTAGATTATAACCAAGGAACACCTGAGCGCATGTGCCTATTTATATCAAATGCTCGGCAAGATTCTGAACATCTGAGGGGCCCTGACCATTTTCCTATGTTTTCCCAGCAGTCTCTTACACATAGATATACTAGCAACAATTAAGATAGAACTATCTAAATGAAATATCGTCAATTTTATTTCCTTTTTCTTTCCAATGTTGTTTGAGAGATTTGGGTAAAAGACAAGGATAATCAGGGGATATTGGATGCAGTTGGAAAGAAGAAAGGCTGAGGAGAAATATGAATTTGTAATGTTGTTTATAGAGGAAATTCAGTAATTGCTGATCTTTGTCTCATCACCCTTATTTTTCTTCTGTTACAGAACATATGTTATAAATGTAAATCTATTGTTTCCTGAATTCAGGGAAATATTTTATTTATGAGTAGCATTGTAGAAGCCTAATGTTATTATACAGTTTTAATCAAAGAAAAACAGAAAAGATGAAAATAAGCAGTTTGTTTTAAATATTATCAAGAAACAAGCCAGCAGATTATACTCTTGATTATGTGCCCACTTGTACAGTCAGCTCATAGCTTTGTAGGGAATTAAAGGAAGTTTACAGTCTAGACATTTTTGCTCTATTGTATACTGGTAATAATAACTAAGCAGTTGTTCTCATTCTTTTCCTTCAAATTTTAAGGAAAACTAGTTATGAAAGTGAAACATAACTATGTGTTTAGTATGTGATTGGTGATAACTATTTTCTAAAATTTATATTATTTCTTACATTCTAAGATGTGGAGCAGTTGGGGGAAGGGGAAAAGAGAGGTTAAAGGAGAGAGGGATAGGGTGGGAGGTGGAGGAAGGAAAGGAGAGATGTGGTCAAGGCCTGTGGCACCCCCCTCACTCTGGCAGGGGAGTCCACGGGGCTTCCAGTGGCAGCTCGGTTGTGGCTGGACTGGACGTGGACTTTGGGGGAGCATGGTTGAGGCCCTTACCCCCACCGCCCCTCCCAGGAAGCCCCAGGGCGCTTCCAGCTGTAGTTCAGTTCATTGTTGGGCTGGAAGCAGATGGTGGGGGGCATGGCTGAGGCCCTGGGGGTGCCCCCCTCACCTTGGCTTGGGAGCCAGGGAAGCTTCTGGTGGTGGCTTAGTGGTCATTGCTGGACTGGATGCAGATGTCAGAGTGGCATGGCTGAGGCCCTTAGTTCCCCACTGCCCTGGCTCAGGAGGCCAGGGCACTTCCAGTTGTGGCTTGGTGGTCATTGCTGGGCTGGATGCGGATATCAGTGAGGCATGGCTGAGGCCCTCCCTCTCCCCCCTCCCTGCCCCCCAGCTTCAGAGCCCAGGGCAATTCCGGTGGCAGCCTGGTGGTCATTGCTGGGCTGGATGTGGACATAAGGGGGTTGTGGTTGAGGCCCTTGGTTCTCCTCACCCCAGCTCTGGAGCCCAGGTGGCTTCCGGCCGTGGCTTGGTCATTGCTGGGCTGGATTTGGATGTCAAGGGGGCATGGATGATGCCCTGGACCCTCTCCCCACCCTGTCTTGGGAGCCTAGGGGGCTTCTGATCCTTCCAGGTTTTATAGGTCTTCTTCTGTGGTGCTAGACCTTTACTTGTTAATATCAGAAATTTGTCTGGGCCGGCCTCGTGGTGCATGGCGCACTCTGGAGAGTGCAGCACTAGGAGCGCAGCGACGCTCCCGCCGTGGGTTTGGATCCTATATAGGGCTGGCCGGTGTGCTCACTGGCTGAGCACGGTGTGGGCGACACCAAGCCAAGGGTTTCAATCCCCTTACCGGTCACGAAAAAAAAGACAAAAAAAAAAAAGAAATTTGTGATCTGTGGGTTTTTTGTTTTTTCTTTTTTCTTTCAGTTCTATGTTGGATTATTGACTATTCCTACCACTTAAACTGTGCACTGGAACTAATTTGTTCTCATTTGGTTACTTCTAAAATGGGGGAACTTCCTGTGGGAACCAGCAGTTGAGCCCTGTGATTGAGCTAAATTGCTGCTTTGCTGCTGATTCTCTGGGGAAGTCTTTTTGTGCAGCTCAGGCTTTAATTGTTGACCTTTTCAGCACCTCCAGGTCTTGTGAGTTCACATACACCTGGGTTGTGTGGAAACTCTGGTCAGGGCCTGAGTCTTTTCAGCATGCTGCACCCAATGTAGTTATATTCCTGACCAGTCTCCACTGAGTAGTCCTGTGCTGATTGGAGGGCAGATCAGCTGTCCATGCTGTACCCCAGTGTTCCCCTGGTGGGCCTGTATCCCCCACCCCCTGCACTCCAAACACTTCCAATGGGACAGGCCATGTGCTGGACCTTTGGGATGACTCACTGTCCTCTGAGTGGCTCCTTTTATCAGTTGTTGTGGCCCCTCATTCCTATGTGGGTCCTTGGGAACCCCGTCAGTGGTCTTGCCTGCCCGGGGGCCACCAAGGCCCTCTTCTTCCCTGCAGCCTCCAAGCAGCTTCATAGGAAGGGCACAGCTGCAGCTTTTGCCAGCTCTTGCTCTGTGTGCTCGCCAGGGCCAGCTATGAACAGCTTTTGCCAGCTCTTGCTCTGTGATCAGAGCTCAGAATGTCAGGGAGTGGTCTTTTATTTCTCTCGTGGTGGCTTCTCCTGCCTTCATGAACTCTGTAGGTCTCTCCTCCTCTTCCCCTTAGTTCTAGCAGCCCCAGCTTGGCAGTCGTTGCTTTTTTAATAGCTGTAAATTGGTTTATTGTGGGAGAGGGTGACACTGGATACCATCTATTCTGCCATCTTGATCAGAAGCCTTTTGTCAAGGATACGTGGATTATCAAATATAGCATCAAAATTATCTCATTGCAAACTTTTAGGTTCAGTCCTGAATTGGGACACTCGAGAATTCTGATAAGGAGGAGTTTTATGTTTAAGATTTTTTGTTTCAGGCTGGCCCGTGGCTCACTCGGGAGAGTGCGGTGCTGATAACACCAAGGCACCCCGGATTCGGATCCCATATAGGGATGGCCGGTTCGCTCACTGGCTGAGCGTAGTGCTGACAACACCAAGCCAAGGGTTAAGATCCCCTTACCGGTCATCTTTTAAAAAAAAAAGATTTTTTGTTTCTTGGCTTTATTGTCACTTTGGGGTTCTGCAAAGCACCTCCTTCAGGTACTCTGTCATTGCATTCTCAGTCCACAGTGAAAACTAGACCAAAAGCTGAGCTTTCCAAAGCTTTAGTCTAGGACTGGGTAACAATAGGATTTTGGAAGTTCCCTCATAGAAGTTGTCTGTGTTGATCAGTTACTATTTTGATTGCATCGTTGCTGCCAGTGCTTGGTAAATGTGGGGATGAGGGAGAGGGGTAGTGAATAGCCTCATTTCTGCTAAGTTCTGGCCAAATTAAAGGAAGAGGTCAAGCTTTTACTTGTTCTCAGTTTATTTAACTTGGCTTTAGTCCCACCATATCTTTCTGTTAGCCAGTGGTGAGAAAACCAACAAACAGCTTGTTTTTGGTTATTTGTACATTACTAGAAGAAAGCATTTTAAAGGCTTGCATGTACCCTTAGCTTCCATGGTTTGCAGCCTACTGAACTTATGTTACCACATGAATAACTAATCCAGATGGCTAAACTGTTGGAGGATATAAAACCAAAATCCATTTCAGGAAGCTATCCACTCTGCTCATCTTTGGATAGTATCCATTCTAATTAGTAGTGACTTTCTCAATTTGTTTTGAAATTTAACTTTTAACTTCATGTTTTCTTGATTTTTACCTAGGTTAAAAAATGTCCTTCTATGCTTGACACCTACAGACCACATGTTCTACAGGAACTAATCAATGGTTTTTCCTGGAGAGACATCAGAAACATAGATATGGTGCCAAAAGAACTCCTTACCTTTCTCTGACTATGGTTTATTTGGACATACTTTTCTATTGAAGAGAAGTACACAAACCGAGGCTACTCGTACAGAAACTCTGTTCGTGTAAGATCATGGACCATCCTGGTAGGGAAAAGGATGAAAGACAACGGACAACTAAAGCCATGGCACAAAGGAGTGCACACTGCTCCCGACCATCTGGATCCTCAACATCCTCTGGGGTTCTTATGGTGGGACCCAACTTCAGGGTTGGCAAGAAGATAGGGTGTGGGAACTTTGGAGAACTCAGATTAGGTAAGAACTTAATTATGTCAATGGCTTCCACTAACAATAATATCAGTTGCTATAATAAGCTTTGGTGTGTTTCAAGACAAGCAGTTTATAGTTTTATGAGAAATTTCTCTTAAGTAGGACCTGTTATAAGAAAAAGACTTTATGAAAGGTGGTATAGTCATTATCAGTTATAGCTGTTCTCCAAGGTTCATCTCTCTTTATGTGTGATAGGCTTTTACATACTCTGCCAATTCTGAGATTTCATGATGTAGGTAGATCTGCACACAGATACCAATAAAATGCAGATTCTGATTTAGTAGATATGAAGTGGAGCCCAAAATTCTGCACTTTTAATAAACTCCCAGGTGATGAGATGTTGTTGGTCCTTGAATCACACTTTAAGAAGGGAGTAAGGCCTTACTTTAATTTAGACTCTATCTCTGAAAGGGAAGAATAAATCCTTATTCATAATACCCACACTTAGTCTGCAAGCATATATATCTTGTTTAGAGAGGTTTTCCAACAGATATGTTGTTTGCTTTTCTTCTCAGAGTTTCCAGCATTAGGATTGAGTGAGAATTCCAAAGAGAAATTATGCGATTTTATTTTCCAAACAAGGAAATGGATTTTCTATTTCAAGTATGAATTTTTGGGTGAAATGATGAATAATGACAAAAATCAACTAGTTTGAAGATGTGAGATTGGGAAGAAGGTACATTGAGTATATAGTACTTTATAATGGCCTTTGCTAGGTGAGTGGTGAATAGAAAATGAAAGACCTTATAAATGTATGAAGTTGGAGATCAGCTTGGAGAATGTGAAAAGGAATGCTTTTAGACTAACGTGTTTTCTTTTTTATTATAGCTTGTATCACTCTGTTTTGTGTTGCTATAACAGAACACCTGAGACTGGTGATTTATAAAGAACAGAGGTTTATTTGCTTATGATTCTGGGATAGCTGCATTTGGTGTGGGCTTCAGGCTGCTTCTACTCAGGGCAGAAAGCAGCTGGAAGCTGACAGGTACAAGCAGATCACATGGCAAGTGGAAGCAAGAGAGAGAGAGAGGGAAGGTGCCAGGGTCTTTTAAACAACCAGCTCTCACAGGAACTGATGGAGCGAGAACTCACTCAAGTCTCCCTCCTCCCAGGGAGATCATTAATCCATTCATGAGGGAGCCGCCCCCATGACTCAAACAGTTCCTCAAACAGCCACATTTCCACATGAGTTTTGAAGGGGCAACATGTCCAAACTCTTATCACAGCTGTTGAGACTATATTATTATAAAGACTCATTTTAAGGAACTTTGGCCCTTGGGAGAACAGGAGGGTGGGAACATAAGATGATTATTTGTTACCTCTGTTACTTCTCATGATCCAGCAAAAGGAGATGGAATAAGTCTTACCTCTTATCTCTCATAGAGAGCCTTGGGGAAACATCACTACACTAGTCAGAGATCACTGGGTGCAGAATTAAATTTAGGGGTGCTGCGAATGAGTTTATTTTTACTGGTAGAAGGCTGGCAACTTGGAATTTCAAGACCTGACTAGAATAATGGAAGGGTCTTTACATTTAGAGATACATTCATGCTCAGGTTAGCAAAGCCAGCAGATGCCACTGAGAATAGGAGTAAGATGTGTAATTTCACACTGCTTGACTTCCTAGCAACTGCTGCGTTGCTTTTGCAGCTAGTTTTGTGAATATTCATTTGTGTAATGGATTGACTTTGTTTTAACATCACAATACTACTTGCATTAAATAGATCATGACATAAGCATCCACGAAATTACTGCTGAGGGGCAGTTTCTAATGCATATAAATTTATGCATTCTCAAAATCATCAGAAAGTTGTTTAATTTCTATGAAGGTGAATAAAAACCTTGGTCAATGAACACTGGAAATCTGTTTGATCACTTAAGTCTAGATTTATATTATAAATTTATATGAGAATGGCAAAATCCATTCAGTTAAACGGATAAATTTGTAGCTCATATATATTTTCTGAGTAATAGAGTATTGTGTTTTATTTCTTCTCATGAATCTTGGACACTTTAGATATTTTTCATTTTGACTTGACATGTAGTCAGTAGAAAGATCTTGTCTTTCTTTTCAAGTGGGTTTATTCTTGTGTGCCTATTGGGTTTCTATTAGCCCTAGGGACCGTATTGTTATGACATTGTATCTAGAAATACTCTTTGTCAGCAGAAACCAGAAAAGATACTTTTCAGAATCGTTTGGCATTTTCCCAGCAATAGAATAGACTGTATATAACCCATTCTATCATTCTCTTGCTCTAGTATTAGTAAGTAGAAGATTATGCAGACAACAGGAAATTCCAAACTCAAGGCAAGTGCAGATAGGTCTCCACTATATGTATCACCTTTAAGGCCCTACTTCGCCAAACGCTTTTCCTTTTCTAGCCATACTGTCTCTACTGTCCCTCAAACAGCTAAGTTTATTTCTTCTTCAGAGTCTTTATACTTGTAATTCTTTCTACCTGCAGAATTCTTTCCCTTAAATTTTCCGTAGCTAGTTGTTTCTCATCTTTCAGGCCTCTACCTATATATTACCTTTTTGGAGAAACTGTGACTTCTCCCCCAACCCCATTTAAAGTAGCACATTTTTCCTCTAGCACGTTCTGTACCATAAAACTGCTTTATTTTACTCACCACTTTGATTGCTATCTAAAATGACCCTATGTATTTATTTACCTGTTAATTACTTCTAGTTACTTGAGTATAAACTCCTTGGAGGGCACAGAGTTTCTTTTTGTATTGTTTACAGTTATTTATGAAATGAGTGGACAAATAGCTACATGAATAAGAAGAAGGAAAAAAAATTTAAGCATGAGCTCCAGGTATGTGGGAGTGGTGGTAGGTGGTGACCTTAGTATTTAGGTAGACCCAGTGATTCCAAACAACCACAAAAACGATGTAGTATTTAGTGCATTTTGGTTCTCTATAAACTTTTCTACCTCATCTTTCATTTAACATCCATTTCTTGAATATTTAATATCATGTTAGACTTTAGAACGGATAGAAAGAATACCGAGATGTCATTTCTGTCCCTAAGAATATATCAGTCTTGTGGTAGAGAAAAAGAGAAAGACAAATACAATACAAAGTGATAAGTATTATAATAGGTTGTATAAAAACTACATTGGCAGAGGAAGTTAATGAAATTTTCAGAGAGGAGGTATTTGATAATAGGACAAGATTTCCACTGGTGGACACAAGGGAGAAGAGCTCTCCAGCTGCAAGGTGCACAAACACTAGATGTTGTGAAAGTGTCCAGTATATTAGAGCAGCAGCTAGTTATACATGACTGGGTCATAGGATGTGAACTGAAAGAAAAGTAATAGATGAGGCTGTCAGGTAAGTCGAGACCAGTCTGTGAACAGTTTGTATGGTATTAAAGCTTTATCCTGTAGGCAATGGGGTGGAATCATCAAAGGTTTTGCAACAGAGGCTCTTGGGGTGGGAAATGGGGGCTCCTTTTTTCTCGTATGTATTCTGGAAAGATAATTGTTAGTTGTAAGATTAGATCAGTGTTGCTTTGTGTTGCTTTGTCCCCCACAAATTTGTCACCCCACTTACCCTGGGTGATGGAGACACAAAGGATTACTCAAAGCCCATCTCTTCTGAGCAGTGAGACACCCTGAAGTGGTTAATTTCCCGCCGGAACCCTCAAGCGAGAGGCATCGCTTCCTTGGGAAATTAACCCCAAATTGGGGTTCTCTTCCTGCATTTATTTTCCAGACCAGGAAGTTACAGGAAGAGACATAGGTGGGGTTATAGTTTAACAATATAGGCTGATAACTTTCAGTGAAACAAGCCAGATGACTTTCCAGTAAGGCTATCAACAAAAGCTTGATCTTAGCAAACATTCCTTCTCACAGCAATTGCACAGTATCTTTACATAACAATCAGTAACTAGTCTGTCCTTGAGCCAGCAACATGCTGTGCCACAAATCTTTATCTTACACCAGAGACTTATAGACTGAGGAAAATTTTCAGTCCTCCACAAGGTCAATATTTGAAACTGCAAAGCTTTGGAAAAACCAGGCCCTGTGAAGTACATATGCTTTATAGTATATTCCACAGATCAGACAGGAAAGAAGTTGACATTTTGTAGATTTTGCTCTAATTGTGGTACTTATCACATTGCACTTTCTTCTTCCATCTCTCTATCCCAAGGTATTCTTGAGGGGTAGCACTTTGCTTTATTAATCTTCATATTCCCAGCTCCTTTCACTGTGTGTGGTATATAATAGGTACTCAAGAAATGATTGTTTTGCAAAATGATCAGAAATGGCACGGCCTTAGGTCTGATCTCTGAAAATGGCAGCGAGATGGAGGAAGGGGTAAGTTAGAAAGTTCAGAAGTAGTCTACAGGCAGTTATTTGAGGGGAAGGAGACAAAGGTGTGAATAATTTTGCCACCTTTGGGAGACTATGTGAATGATGAAACCTTCATTGGAGATAGGAAATATAGGACTGGGGTGGTTGGTGGAGACAGGTAAGATAGAGTTTGTGAATATATTGAATTTGAGGAGTGTGTGGCACATATACAGAAATGTGTATCCAAGACTTAGAAAATTAGGCTTGAGATAGGGATTAAGAAATTATCACCATGCAGCTATTAGTGAACACACAATCACAGATGGTAATATGGAGCTTGTATGACTGGGAGAAGGAGGGATACTGGAAGAGGAAGAATTTGAAGAGTAAGGAGGTTAAGCAGGAGAGGGCTAATTTTTCTAATTATTTTAATTATTGCCTTTGATCTTTCACTTCTGTTTGTATATTTCTGAGATGCTCCCTTTTTTCTCCATTTTTTTAAAATGGGCACATGTATTTTGTAATAAAAAATAAAGCAATAAACAAAAAGCAAAATGTCCATTAAAGCAGATTTTTGAAAAAGAAAATAACATGCTTATTGCCAAAAAAATTTTTTTAGTTCTACTTTAGAAGTGTATCCAGGACTGGGCCAGTTTGCTCAGTTGGTTAGAGCACAGCCTTGTG